CTATCTCTTTTTTTTTTTACATTTACCATAATGCATGCATAAGCACTTCTTGCTTGTAATGTACGTTTTCCTTGACAAAATATTCTGTCTTGAATTCAGTAAATCAGTACTTTGAAAGATACCGCAACGATGCTTTCGACAGCATCTAAAATTGTCTAAGTTCACAAATCTATAAATTCTAAAGCATCTCTTTATTATCATCTATGTTACTTGTGATTAATTAAGTGATGATTGAAAATTGACACTAACAAGGTGCCGTTGCATTACAGTGAATGATGAGATGTCGAACGATGACGGATTATGAAATCAACAGGCTTCCACCTCTCATGTGCGGTACCTCCTCCCTCTCTTTCCCTCTTTTACTTCTCGTTACGAGACGAATGAGTCTCTCGGAAATGCGGTACGCATTAAGTAGAGATACGTCGTCCAAAGCTTGTATATTTGCGATCTCGTCCGCTATTTCCCCGATCCAGGAATTGCTCGGCGTACGTCATGCTTCCGGGAGCGCGGCAACGAACCCTAGGGGCACAATAAAACTGCATCTAAACAACGTCAGCGGGCGGGGCAGGATGAGATGCGAGAAGCGAGGGGGTGGAAGAAAAGAAAAGGGCGAAAGGCACGGAAGAGAGGAGAGATCTCTCCGAGCTGCATCGTTACGGAAAAAGGCTAGGTCAGAATGGGTAGCGGCGAGGAGATTGAGGCGAGGGGACTTTGCCGGTGAGGACGTGATCGCGTTAACAACAACCGTTCGGAGAAAGGTGGGCGTTTCGAGCGATCCGGTTTGAATAAGTAGTTACCGGCCTAATAGTAGCGCCGGACTTGTGACGATCGTTGAATACCGAAATTTCCGACCGGGCGCGCCGAGCCACGAGCAGATTGGTTAAAGAAGGGACGAATTCGGGGAGAGGAGGGGGGGGGTTACCGAAGGGTGGTCCGCACAGGTTGCGGACTTAGTTTAGGTCTACAACGTCAAACCGCTGTAAACGTCTCGATCGACCCCACTGACTCTTTGCTCGCTATCTCGTATGCCGCCATTGAACATAAAGCCGTTTTTCCCCCCTTGACCGGTCATCGCCCTCTTCAATTGTCAGTTTTTTCTCCCGTTCGACATGTATAAAGAAATAACTTTCGAAATGTACACCGCAGGTGACCTCAATTCGTATAAAAACTACTAGGTAAATCTACCTTGCGACTGAATTTCATTCGCGAGAGACGATATTTTATTTGCGGAATTGTATTGTATGTAATTATTGCAATTTTTTGTTTAACTAACTTAATCGGGATCTATGGATAACGAATTCTATTTTTCAATGAAATATTCTGCGCGGGATTGTTGCGGAAAGAGCATACGTGCAAAAATTGTATTTTAAAAGTATCTCTGAAATTTTTTCTTTTCTTACAGAATACTAGAAGAAGCAATCCGTTTGTGCTTATTGAATAAAGTAATGTAATTTCAAATACATTTTTTCTTGTAAAGAAATTTTCTTTCCTCTTGCATGCTCTTTTTCCAACCATCGTTTTGAATTTTTTCTGCTTCATCGATCTAAGCAAAGCGCATAGGAAACAAGTGAACACGATGCGGGATAAGACCGAGGAAATGTCAGCATCTTTTCTTTTTTTCTTGTCTCGAAATTACAGAAAGATGAACGCCGTCCGTGGACGTTTTCACGTTTCAAAAATATCAGTGGATTTTCACGCGACAGAGAAACGCAGACGCAGGTTATCAAGGTTACAATTTTCGCAATTTTCACGGCGTCGTAAATTCCAGGGACGTGAAATCTCCTTGCAATAATGAATTCGTCGTGAACTAGTAAAACATCGGAATAGCTCTTCTTCGATTTCAAGGAGCAAGTTACTCCTCCACTGGTTGATTCATCCAGTGGGTTACGAGTCTTATCAAACTGCAAGTAAGCAGTGGTTTACGAGACTGCTTTGCACTCGTTTTAAATTTGAAACTTCCTGCTATCGTGAAAGTCGGTTTATGTGCCCGTCGTTGGGAATTTTATCTTTTCATTTTCTGTTTTCTAGTCCTCTGTTAACTTTTCATTCTTCATGAAAAAGATTATACGTTTTGGTAAATGCATGTATAATAATTATCGCAATTTTTTGTTTAACTAACTTAATCGTAATCTATGGATAACGAATTCTATTTTTTAATGAAATATTCTGCGCAATGTTGTTGCGTTCATGCGTAAAATATCATTTTTTATTTGCGTTTGAAAATTATGCAAAAGCTGTGATACTGTGAGGATTAAAAGAGAGAATTATAATTGTAATATGGAATGTTATCAAAATGGATAAGAGATTTCTGAAGCGCTTGTAAGTATCGACAGTCTGTAACTTCGACCAGAAGTCACTCATAAAATTTTTATATATCGTCGAAGACTTTTTTTTTTAAATGCGTAAACGATATTATTAACACGATATAATATCACTAAAGCGGGAAAGATTTTCTCTCTCTCTAGAGTATTCAATTTTCAACCGCTTCGCGCTTGTAGGTATCGAATGTGCGAGCTCGGCGAAAATCGCCGAGCAGAGACCTTAATTCCATCGGAGACTGCCTTTTTTAAATGCAATACGTAATACAAATAAAAAAAAATTCCTCAACACTACCGTGACGGTAGTCTCGTGGACGACGGTTATTATCTCTTCACAAATTACATCGAGGTAGCGCACCGAGGGCTTTTGGTCTCAGCCGTGATAAACCCATCCACTTCTATCCTCTGCCACCTTCCTCCCCCTTTTACCTCCCCTCTCTTGTCTTCCCCAGTCCCTGTCTCTATTATTTTCAACCGCCCAACTTCTGATATACCACCTGCAACCTCATTTACCTAGCTACTCTATGTACGTTAGACAACACTTATTACCCAGGTAATACAATCGCATAATGCGCCCCCTCGTCTTCGCACCCACGATAATGCCTAATTTAATGGCAAGGAGGAGCGTCTCGCAATCTCGAGTCTAACGAGAGATTACTGTCCGGATGTTACGCGCCGTCGATCAAATTAATTTACAATTATGATTATAGCGATATCGCTTGTCCGAACCGTGTCCTCGCCTTTGAGGCACGAATTTATATACGTCGCTATATAATCTATATCTGTACGCTTCAAAAAATTGGACGGAGCTTGCGTCGAAATTCGAGTTAGGCAACTTGCAACTACACACTTACTGCCAACACCTACTTTAGACTTTCGTCAAGTTAAAGTGGAAAGTATAACGCGCCATTTCGAGCTACATGTATTTCGCTACATACATTCGAGTTACATGTATTCATAAAAACTTGGGTCAACTAAGGTATTTTTCTGGAAATTGGATTTTTCCGAAATTTCGTTTAAATTGAAGGTTTCGTTCGCTCGCGCATTTTATCGGACTTGTTATTTTAATAATTTGATATCAGCTGCGTGCGCTTATTTACGTGCGCTTTAACATGACAAAAATGTTCAACGTGCTTATTTGTGCGGTGTTTATTTACTTTAACATTGACAAAAAAAAAAGGTTCAGGGTAAAAAAGTTGATGACAGAGTGACTAACGAGGAAAGTTCGGTAACCAGCAAATTCGAAAATAAGAGAACTGTGTACAAATGTAGAATAGTTCGGCACGGTAGTGCCGAACTATTTTTCGTTGCGGATAAAAAACGGATTTAGAGCGTGAAAAAAAATCGACTCCAAATTGGTCGGGGAGTACAGTCGTGGAATTTAACGATATTGTACAATCATTCACAGGTATATTTGAAAACAAGGCCGAAGCGCAACTTTTTTTTTCCTTACGTTTCCGCGTGATCACTAAGTATGTGGCTAATTAATTCAGGAAACATTGCATGCTTGAAGAGTGTTGAAACATGAGTATTAACCGCTTAACGAGCTCGTGCGACCGTACCACGTGTTGCCGATCTTTGTACATACGCGCGTGTACGTGCGCGCACGTACACATACACAGTAGCCTGTATATACATGTGCACTCTCGCATACATCGTGCGTGGGTATATATCGCGGAGAAATTGCGGAGGACGATCGATAGTTGAGCGCAACGAGCTGCTGCAAGCTCTTCTCCACGTCGGTCGTGCTTGAATCGATAATTCTCGCGTTCAGCGCACAATCCTTTGGGTATATTCGATGATTTGGCCAATCTAATATAATCACGGAAGAAGTTACCTCTCCCTTCTGGCCCGAAAACCCAGATTACACTTAAGATGCATAAGCTTGAGATTATTCTCTTCTTCCTAATACAAAACAATACTTAAAGCGAGCGATGCATATTTTTTTTAAATCAGATTTGAAATCAGATAGGTGTTATTACTTTGTCGAAAGTCTACGACATTTTTTGATGTGCAAAAGAAGGAAAAAAAAATTTCTGACAAAAATCAACATTAGAATAAAATATTAGTCTCTCCTAATATTTTTCCATGAAAATTTTTATCTTATTGCAGAGTCCATTCTGTATTTAGTAACGAAAAAATTTCTCTAAGAATGAAAGAAAAGTTCCTTAGAAAGGTATCTATCAAAGAACTGGATTTGTACTAGATACTCCACGCTGGGAGACCAAAAGTTTCCTTTAACACTTTTAATACATCAACGGGGATGAAACATTTAAAAATCCGAGATAAAAACACGGCAGGTCGGACGAGTGCTTTATTTTATCTCGAATTACTGTTTCAAGTTGAGCAGACCGCGGAGAAGAGACAATTAAAACTTTAAGCTGAAATAGCACCACCGTCACCGTCACTTGGACAAACTGAATTCTTCGGACGGTGGAAAGCTTTCTTTAGGGCAACAACTTGCCCGGGGGAAAACTTTTCGCGATGATTTAAAACGCTTCACCGATGTATTTTTAAAGGATTCTTATATATTCCCATCTACATATCGAAATCACTATTATTATCTCCAGAATTTTTGGAATATAATAAGGATAAAGATTCTAAACTGAAATAAATAATAGGTTATTAGCAATTTAGTAAGAGAGTTTAATATATTTTTTAATATAAGTATCTTATTTTTAGTGATAGAAGATCAGATGGCCATTCAAGAAACGATAAACGCGGATGAAGATACTGAAAATTCTGTAAATCGCGAAGAAAGTAAATATATAAATATCTATTAATCTTTTAATAATTATATACACATACACATATGCATACTTTTCATAGATGAGGAAGAAGAGGATGAAGATGAAGAAGAAGAAGAAGCGGAAACTGTTTTCCAAGAAGCTGATTTTAAATTGGGTGAATTTCTTCAAAGGTGCGATAATATAGCATAGTAGTGGAATGCCCTATATGTCTATTGCTCCTTTACTCATAATAAATTGTTTAATCAGTTTTTTTTATATTGATAATCTGTTCTTAAACATGAATTATTTTGGTTAAATCAAGGAAAATTTTGATCCAAATTTAGTTTTTAAAGTTTTGTTCTTTGTTTAAAGTTGTACAAAAGTAATATTTTATTATCTGTTCTTCGAACTCTTTTCCCGTATGATCTCTTAAAAGGAAATTCTGACTTAGTTACACAAGATATTTCTGTATGCGATATAACATAAGACAGTATTTATGTAAAAAGTGATATATCATTCAAAGGTTCGCCAACGTGAAGATCGTCAAGGCTTTAGCCCTACTAATGCAACAATTCGAAAACAACACAGTCGAAGTAAATCACTATGTAACGAAAATGCTACATCGGATTGCTTGGAATTGTAAAATGCCGGGTATGATATTTCAAGCGTCCATATTTCGGATCTTTCAAAGAATTCTCGAGTCAAAGGATCCTGCACATAAGGTAATGAGACACATAGAATAAGTCACATAGCTAACTGCAATAATTACGTAAATGCAATAATTGCATCTTATATGTTATATAGGTTTGCAAAATCGTTAACGTTGCCCTTATGATATTATTCAGTCCGATATTTTTCTCAACAGATTTCCTGTTCTTCGCGACGTTACGCTTTATCGCCCTTTGCACATAATAAGAACATAGATAAGACTTTGCTGTTTCTTTAGTTAGTGATAAAAATTCTTTTCCTTTCTTGTATCGCGCGATAAATTTCACCAGCGAGCTTTTATTGCGTCCTCGTATCGAGCTTAATGGTCCACAGAAGTGGACTCGTCGAGCAGTAGAAAAATCGATTCCTTGCTTTAGGAGCTCCAAAAGTTCGCGGTCTTCATAATCCGCCGTTTCATCGAAGTCGCCCAGAAGAACCGGAAGTCGTACATGGAGCTGCTCTTCTGGAAGACTACTCGCGACGCGACAGAAATCGTGGATGGCTACAACGCGGAAACGACTAACAAGAAAGTTTCACGAGCGACCTGGACGGAGGCGGAAGAGGACGAGCTGCGTACCCTCTTCATGGAGCATCAGACTAACAAATATCCTCAAGGTAAACTCTTTATATCGTCCATTTCTCACGGAGGAGTCTCCTGCACACATCGTTGAACTCGATAAATTAGTGCCTTTTACGAGAACGTGCCCAAAATATAGAGCTTTTTATTACGTAACGTAAGACGAAGATTCAAGGAATATGAGTGATTCGGTGCGATGTTAAATCTGCAATTTCTAACATTTAATTTAATATTGTCTAAATTGATAAAAAATATTTTCATTTACTCTTCAATATCCAGAACAAGAAACAATGAAAATACAAGCTGGATCGAATCACTCATGCGATAATTGTAACGTTGTTATAAATTTATAGATTTAATCGATTGGATATTGGAGCATGTCATCAATGAAAATAGAACGCGACGTATCATCATCAAGAAGCTCAAGGAAATGTGTTTGATCGTCAATTCTAAGGTTAGTTTCACTTTTTTTTTTACATTTATATGTAATCGTTTAGGCACTAAAGGAAACAAACGATCTTGAATCTTTTCCAATAATAATTCATTTATTTTAATCTAATATTTCTTTCGCGGAGAAACAGCCTTAAAAGATTTAGTAAACAAATTTCTGTACCTCCGTTAAAAAAGTAACGGTCCATCCGTATGCCCCCGCGGCACTTCCCCGTTGTGCTCCGCCTGACAAGATCAATGATTTACGAGAATCTTAAGGGAAGGAAGGGCGGAGTGGGGCCGTTCACCCGGCCTCGAAAAATAAGTTTCTAGACTACCACCGCTGACGGGGTGAACATATGCAAAAAATGGAGCCGGGAATTGCTACAGGAACTGTAAATTCTCCGGAGACAATACGTCTCTACGGGGTGAGAGACTTTCCACCCTCGTTTCTTCGCTTCTCTTCCTTTCCACCGTTGCGTGAGGTTTCCGACGCGAGCTGCGTGTTCCTTTCATCCAGCCGGTAGTCCCTTTCTCCGCGCGAGCATAGGAAATGTCTGTGTGCGACCCTCTCGTCAACCCTGGCGATCCTAAAACCGGCGGTTCCTTGAGAAAAGCTATCGTTTTGTTTGCCTTCTGCCTTACGACATACGTATAAACATTTGCATCACCCCTCGGGCTTATACGAAAACGCGGAGGGAACGTGACCCGGGCGCTTTGTTGTGTTTGTTGAACTGTAAATGCGCGTGTTATGAACGGGTATTCTATAACTTTTGACAGCGAAAGTTGAATTGAAATACTTGATTTAATTCATAAATAGTTTAGCACAAACTTACTACAGTAGGATCATACAATCTCGGGAATATTTGATGTTTAATAAACCTTAGAAACGTAATACTGTTATTTTTTTTTCGAATCATTAACATTTTCTAAAGAAACGTTCCGAGAAGTATATTAATCTTGCCAAGCTTGAAAGCGTTCCTTTTTTTTTCTTCGTTATAACTCTTTTCTTCTGAAAATACACGCTGCAATACGGTGATAAAGCATGGGAATGCGTTAATCAAGCTTCTTATTGCGGCAGAGGAGTTACTAACTAGTTACCGGCTTATTTAAAACTTGAAATTAATTGAGTTTGTAGGGGAGCTCCTAACAAGGGAAAAAAGCGTGGCGGATAAGCGATGCAATGCGCAATACCGGATCTTATTCCGCTGCGCTTTTTGTAGATGAAACATACCATAAGAAGAGATTCAGCAAAAAATTTTCTTCGCTCGAAAGACGTCAGCGCTTTTGGCGTCAGCAATTCACAATTATTATTTTAAAACAAAACGCTGTTTAATTAATGCTGTCGACCGTTTGCGATCTCTCCTCAAACTACAGTCGTTTACTGAAAATTTGATTAAGCGAAACATATTTGTAAGTAATTGTTTTGTCGAAAAAAAAAAAGATCGAACATGACGTATGATTAATTTTTCGATAATATTTCACGACATTAACCAGCCGCTATCGGGGTGAGAAAAAAAAATATTTGTTTCCCCCTCTGGTCTTAATTCGCTATTAATCACAAGCGTGCAGTCACCGGCGAAACCGAGGGGTGGCTACGCTGGCGGAAACGTTTCCTCCGAAGTATTATCGATTCCTTCGCGGGGCCTTCCGGTGGAAAGGCTTAGCCGCGGAAGCGTTTCATTTAAATAATTTCATGCGTGAGTACGTTCCGTCTCTTTGAACGAAGAGAGTGCGGCCGAGGCCAGAGACTACCGGCCGAGTATTCATTTGACATTCATTTAGTCCGTGGAAGTCGCGCGATATTGCCCCGACGGCCATTTAGGGGCCTCGTTTCGCCGAGGGTGGAGCGTAATCGCTGGAAAACGAGCGACCCAGAGAAGCTTCTTCTTTTTAAATATATACGCCTACTGACTTAGAAGCTTCTCTCCAGAGATTATACACGGAACGCTTTGTCTCATCAAGCTTGGAGATTATGCGCACGCAAAGTACTTTCCGAGAAGATTATAGAGGTTGAATAGCTGGGTGCTAATTTATATATACCTACGTATATATAATATTTATAAAGATATCGATATTCATCGAGCCCCTGTACCGCGTGATTATTTGACTATATTCGGTGTTATCGCCGAATCAATATTAAATGCAAAATTTATTTTACTACATTTCGTAACTTGCTCATTATTTTATAATTTTGTTTAACAATGATCGTAACCGTGTTTGATATTACGAAAATTTTTAGTGGACTAAAAATATTTTAATCTCTTTCCATCACGAACGATGTACGTGGTCTTTAACCTATTTTCTTAAATCTCGTAATTAATTAGGGCGTGCGAGCTGAGGTACAAAAGAGATTACCTAAGGAGTGGTCTGAGGAAGAAATCGCCCAGCTTACGGAACTTTGGACACAGTTGAAAGACGATGATGGTAATTTTTTAAATTTATTTTTTTCTTCAAGCTAATTTCTGATCATATGTCCTAATTTCTTTCCTATTGTCTGAAAGTACAAATTTAATCGGACAATTTTTGGAATCTTTGGAATTTTCCTTCATTTATTGATATTTCTGTCCGTTAGTTTTTAATGTCGTTAAATTGTTATCAAAATTAAATGCAATTATTAATCACGGGTAAATGGAACGAAGAATGAAGTTTACGACAGTATAAATTTCTGTGAGAATCCGGCAGCATATTGTAGTAATTGCCGTTTATTGTAATTTGTAATTTATCTGCGAATCATACGGGCTAAAAATGGCCTTAACCCAATTCCCGATATAAATTTTCACGATAGAAATTCGCCGTAAATTTCCACGTTAATTCTAGCCCCGTTATTCGCGTTCCGAAACTGTTGAAATATTTCGCGAATGCGAAATTCGTGCGAGAATTCGTTAACACCGGAACGATTCCTAGGATTTAATTAAGCTCCGAACATCGGACACGCTTGGCTGCTTGTAGTAATAATTTCGAATCCGCCGGGACGAACGAAGAATAATATCCTTCCTGACAGAGACATTTTCAGAGAAGTCTTGTAAAACTTGTTTCATTTTCATACGAATCCGCCGCTCTCTATAACTTTTAATCTCCGAAGTCGCTTCCACGCCAAACGTAATTCTCAGATGTCCACGAAATGTCAAGGGCATTTTTCTTCGCCTCCCCCTTCAAAAATTTCCGCAAAGTGTTTTATTCTGCCGTGTTCTTACTCCGCGGGTTGTTAACCTTAGAACTCCCAACGGGCAGACGAAAGTATTCACGAAAAATGTCACGTCGCAAGGGAGATAATTCTTTTCCAAATTAAATTTGTTTCACAACAAATCTCGGAAACGCGAGTGCGTTTTACGCTTAATAATCGGAATCGCGTTTATATATACGTAAAGTACCTTATAATCTTTCGAGAAGTTAAATTATAAGTACGTAAAGAGAGAGCTATGTCGAATTGACTTATAAATACATTTCGTCGACGTGAAATAAAGTCCGTCCCCTTTAGATAAAGTCCGCCCGTGTCTCTCTTCGTAAGCTCTAATTGATTTAACTTTAAATCCCTTCAAAATCTCCGACAGTCGTCTCTCGACCTTCCCTCGCGCGCGATTCTCCCACGATCGGAGCCTCCCTATCGTTCGCGCCGCGCAGCTTCCTGACGACGCTATAAAAATCGAAACTGCTATGTCCCCGACAGATCCTGTGGATTTGATTTTCACCGGTCTTAGAATAAAGCGGCCGAAGCCGAAGATCAAGGAGAAGCTTCTGGAATTAGGATTGGCGCAGGATCGCAGGGAGCTGCGCAAAAAGCGGTCCAGAAAAAGCAACCATGGTGAGTATACCTATTCGTTCTTATTCCTCCCTCATCACGATCCGGTCTGGAGCATCCCTTGTTCCGGCCAATCCCATCCCATTCCATTCGCATCTGTCTTTCTTACTATCCTCCGATTCCGCGACTATTCCCATTCGATCAGTCTTCTAGTAACGCGATTGCCGGCGACTGCATAGAGTGACTCGCTTTCAACGGGGAAAGCGAAACGACATGGAGGTATGTGAGAGAGAGAGAGAGAGAGAGAGAGAGAGAGAGAGAGAGAACGCTTGGGAGGAAGCGAGAAGGAGTAAAGATCAATTTGTACAGGATTCTTCTCGCTCTCCTATCCCGATTTCTTACGAACCTGGGGGAGAGAGGAAAAAAACCTTTCGTCGATATTACCAGCGAGGACAAGTCCGCTCGTATGTTTGCAAGATCGTTTCCGTTTTCCTCTTTTAATACTGGCGAGTGAAGCGCGAGTGTGATTGCACGAGAAGTGTACCTGCGTGTGTGAATTGTTTTTAATTCTGATATATATTATATATATATATTATATATATATATATATATATATATATTATAGAGATAATATATTATAGAGATGAAGGAAACTGCGCAGATTTAATTAATATTTCCTAAAACATTGATTTTAATACACAAAATGCTTCAACTATGAACAAGGAATGTTAATTTACGAATTCAGGTATTCAATTATGCTACAGATATTATGAAATTTCTAAATTCTTGATATGCATTGTTGTGTATTTTTATTTGAATTATTAAGATATTTAAATCCCTGTTAATGGATTGCGGCAGCAATTTGCGCGATAGAAGCTAGGTATAGAATCGGAATGCGCGCTGCTAACCGAACTATTCCGGTGATCTAAACTTATCGAACTGCTAAACATTTATACCATGTGGTATGCCGCAACCATGTATAACAAATAATACAATCTATCTTCAAAACATTCGCGCGTAGATTTATTTACAGATATTATTTGAAATAACAATAAACGCCACTCTTTTTCACAGTTACTAATATTTCAAAATTAATAAATAATCTCTCGAATAATTTTTTATTGAATTCAGAATATATTTTTTTTGTCACAAAACAGAGAAAATGTTTAAAATACAAAGTTACAAGTAACAGATCATAGTAAACATTCAATATGTTACAACGTTATTCAATTTTGATAAAAAAATACGGTTAGTTAATAAAGATCGAATATATTTCTATATATCTCTTTTTTTACATGATAAACGTAGTACTCTGTCAATTTTCTTTAAGCAAATTTGTGTTCCAATCCAATTTTTTCAAATAGTCGAAATAATATTTACGGTCGCTTTTTATTTCCGTTGCTCATATTTGAAATCTATAACGATATCATCGCGGAATATCAATCTTGCTATTTAATATCGACTGCGAATTCCAGCCGCACTTTCGCCGCTCTTGGACCAATATCACTCGCCTTAGCTTCCTATTATGGTGCCGGAAGGAATTTCATATTTATCATGGATATTGTTTTCCTCTCTCATGCCCCTTATTTGTATTCAATGCATTGAGATAGCTCACATCATAGATATACAGCTTGCAGGATGAAACATTGCCGAGAAGTTTGGTTCACCTTGTGTGTCTTTGAAATAGCATTTTCCCTCCATGTCGTGTTTTGATGCAATCTCGCTATCCCATATGGGACTATCCCGTAGAAAATGTGATTGTTCTTTGTAATAGATAGAGTGGGTATACGGTAAAATTAATATTCCGAGTGTACACAGATTTATGCCCCAAATCCAATAGTATTTTCTGAAAAGAAATACCAAGCGAGATATATCTGCGCAAACAATAGAATGTCAAGAGAATGACAAGAGATATATATATTCACGCTACAACATGTGAAACACACGAAAATATACGTTTCTTTTTTAATCTATTAAAATTCTCAGATTATTTTATTATTTTAAAATTAACATTTTTTTTTGTAAAAGAAAATCTGTGCAGCGTGATATATAAACGCGATTCAAGACAAACAAGTTTAGCTCGTGCGGGATTTTATTTCAGATTCGTACACATTCGTATACGAGAACTGGGAAAAAAAGGAAAGTTTAAATTCAGTGTTATATATTTTATATATAACACTTCTTTAATATATATCATGTTCGAGATTTATTTGATGTTACGTGAAATATCTCGCATATATACACGAATACACGCGGGCGCGCGCGCGACATTGCACGGCGCGCTTTACACACGCTGATGAACGCTCGCTCGAGAAAGGTTCACATCGTTTCCATGCATTGTGCGCAAAGGTAAATCGTCGTGGGAAACGCAGGCTGCCAGTAATTCTGACGGGAACGAAAGTTCAGCCACCGACGACGAAGACGGCGAAGAAACTCGAAAATCCTCGAAGCGCGGCGGCGCGCCTCGGCGGAGCGAGGAGCCGACGAAAAAGAAGCAACAGAACAGGCGGAAGCTACCAACGATCGTTTACACGGATGCACAATTATCCGGTCTCTTGAAGGACGTCATCGACAGGAGTAAGTATCGCTGCCCTCTCACGGATACTTCCTCTCCCTGCCGAACGTTGCATCCCGCACGTTTTTGTGATTAATGAAAGCGCACTTGTCGCGCGAGAGAGCGAAAGCGCGCGTGCAACGTATCCCCCCCGTTTCCTTCACGCAGGATAAATGTTTCTCCCTTGCCGGAGAAAAGGGAGAACGGCGATGATTTGCAGAAGCCATTACGCGGAAAAAAAGAGATGACTTGTCGGAAAAACGGCTTCTCAAGTCACTGTTTGGAGTATGTCACGTTGCGGGTTTCGCGAAACCTACAAAAAAAAAGTTGTTTTCAGGAAAAATTTGTCAATTTAATCTAGTTGTGCGAATTCATCCGCTCTGAAAATAATATGCAAGTAAAATATAGTAATTTACAAAATCCATTTTATAAAATCTAAAAGAATTGTAGAATATTTTGCCCTCTCTCGAGATATTATTTGCGATTACCATCCAAGTAGACTAATAAATAACGCGTAATTGACCCTAATCGGCTAGCAAAATTGACTCATTAACGGAAAGAAAATTAATTAATTTATCTCACGGGAAAAAATCTCACGTTTAATCAGACATGAGAGAGGCGTTAGAATGGATCAAGGAATCCCTGCAAGACATTCTGGACGATCGTGACGAGGAGAGCTCCGAGGGCATACCCCTGGTGCCGCTGACAGATTACTCGTCGGCCGCGATGGATTCACCGAGTTTTCAGAAGCTCCTTCGCGCCATGGGATTTGTGCCACCGGCTGATGCCCAGGAATCTTATTGGCGTATCCCGGCGAATATGCTTACGGCCACGCTGCAGAAACGCTGCAAACTCATCGGGGATGCATTAGCCGGCGAATTTATTGTCGAAGGTAAGTAAATTAGCGAGTGATGATGTTCAAATGACGATCATTTACGAAAGTGTATTTGCAGAAACGCGTAAAAGTCAATCCGATACCGATGAAAGAGGAGACGACAGTGAAGACGATGTCGACGTGTTTGAAAGCGTTAAAAAGTTCTTTGCGCCCAGAGGTCAGTTATATTTTTGCGCAATTATACTATTTTTTTTTATCGGTAACTTTATCGGAGGAAAATATGAATCATTATATTCAGAAATACCTTTGCGCGAAATATTTGCAGAGCTGTAGGAAAGACAAATAGTTTATTATTGACATTATTGAGTAAAATTTAAATTTATGAGTTACTTCTTTAGATATCAATTAATTCCGAAAGTCTTTTTAAATTGAGATTTATTATGCAGCGAATATTAAAATGTACGATTTTTCATTCTCATACAAATAATGTAGAAATCGTGTAAAAAAAAATATATATATATTGAATCATTTTCAGAATCGGAACCGTCGACCTCCAAACAATCAGAATCATCTACTAAAATTCAGTTTTCGAAGAAATCCAAAACGTTATTGACGTTAGACGAAGAAAGCGATGAAGCAGAAGTTATAGAAAATAACGATGAAGTGAAAATCGCAGTAAAACCGGATAAAGGTACATCGCTATCAATTAATTTAACTATTCTAAACGAACAAGGGACACGGAATAACATTTTCTCGCCCTCTGTTATTCGAGCCAGCAAACCACTCTGTTTCTTTATCACAAATTTACCGATCAATAAATTTATCGGGATTAAATTTTTAGACATTTTAATAATAGCGTTCGTAATAATATCAAATTTTAGAGAGCATAGTGAGAAATCGAGTGCGGGTGCTCGACGATTCCTCCGAATCGGAAATGGAAATTGAAAGGGACATCGATGATAAGAACGGTCAGTAACGTATGCTGATAAAAAATAGGAATCGATCGACCCTTTTTTACTACTGGTCGCGCGTTAACCGTAAATTTTCGGACATTTTACAGACGACATAAAGAGAGATAGATCCGATTCTTCATCCGATACGGATAAACCGTCCACCAAGAAACGTCGGCTGATCGATAGCGACGAGGAGATAGTGGAGCCGCTAAGGAGTGATTATACCGAGGCAAATGGCGCTCCTGTTATAATTAGCGATGATGAAGAATCATTGCCCAACGTGCGATCTGAGCGACCCACCTTATCTCGCGTAATAATCAGCGACGAAGAAGATTAGGAGAGAATGGGTTTATGTATTCGTTACTCTAGATATTTAAGATATTCTTATGCATTCAAAACGGTTATACTTTCATAATATATTATTCTTTTACTCGAATATGTCCTTAATTGAAATAATAATTAAAGGACGAATTAAATTAAAATATGTTTTATCGAGATTATTCTATTGATTATTAATAAATACTTTGTTGAGATGAGAAACTACTGCGATAAAAAAAATCGTGATAAATATTCAATTTTGACAGTGAAAGTCATAATTAATATAATTATACCATGTTTTAGGAACAAATTTATTTTTAACTCAATTTTGATAAAAGAATGTCACCGCTTTAACATTGTTAGCTTCAGCTGGGAAGGCGAGGTTCGTGAAACTACAGGCATCGGCTTTATCCGCGAACGCTTGTACCGGGAGCATACGTCCTAGACGTTGTGAGCTTCGTCAAGGTTCCACGTGTTCCTCATCGCGGTACGCCCTTATACGTGGCACCCAGCATGCACTTCAGGATGCCAAGAAAAACAGTTCCCGAAAGGCGTCCACATTTCGCCAAGTAACGACGAAGAGAACATGCGAGGACGGCGGTGCCGGCTGGCGAACGCTGTCTCCGCTTCGCTGTCGCCGCCGCCGTCGCCGGCTCTGGGTTATCGACCCTGGTCACATGACCATCCGGGCACTTCCGCGCCGGGCTCGCGCGCAGTCCCGGGCGGCAAGCGGCCGCCCGCCGCGTCGCGCGATCAACCTCCTCGATCACGTGCTCCCCGGTTCGGCGGTTGGTCAATGCGGCTGACTTTACGTCTTTTGATGGGCAGGTGAGGAGTCTTGGCGAGTGTTAACGATATGTACGTGTGCATCGAGACGTAATCGCGCGACGAAAGACCAGCTCTCACCTTTTTCGATGCCCACCTTCGACGGCTAACGACGACGTCACGCACCGCGAAACGACGCGTAATGTCGCCGCAAGGACTTCGCGACTCGCGGATATACGATCAGGGGATCATGCCGGGCCAAGAATCGTGAAAAACGCCTAGCCGCGAATCTAGCCGCGAATGTATTGTTACGTGTGACAGAACGCGGAAGCCCTGTATAAAGTTACATATACAATTAATCGGCAATTCAATAATAAAAGATGTCGAATTGTCTCTCGGTTCCCTCATATTTCTAATTCTTATATTACTTTATTATTTCCTCATATCATTTTTATATTTTATATTTTTAATTATTTTATCACTTATCATTTTATTATATTTAGATCATTAAATGTATGTGTTTAATATTTAAAAAATTACTACCGTTCCTTGGTTTTCTTCCATATTTCTGATTCTTATTTTATCTTATCTTATATTGTATGTGGTATTTTAGCTTATAATACTATGATATCTTTATTATCTATAGTAATATTATACATACACTTAATGTTATTTTATCATTTATCATCTTATTCTTTTGTCTTCTTTATTTGTGTACAAATCTTATATAAAGTATACGATTACATTTCTTTTCCTACTTTTGTTGATTCTCTTAGTATCACTATTGTTATAAAATCGAACCTCAACGTAAATATTGGCGCTACCTGCCAGGAGCTGGCGAACGGCAAGCAGCAGAGTCTGACTGCGTCTGACTACGGGAGGCCGTATCCACCTGCGCTCGAGAACGGCGCGTCTACGGCGATAACTACGAGGCGTCGATCGTCGTGTCCCGTCATCTTCGTCACTATAGAACGGCCAGATTCCAGAAGGGTGACCACGTGCATTCTAATCTCAACTTTCAGATGCCAGGCGCGCATGACGCGGCAGGAGCTGAGCCGCCGCGGCGAGTCCACTCGCGGAATCCAAGCTGCCTCGTCAGGACACGTAGCTGCCGTGATAAGATAGCATGCGAAAGAGTTAGTAGACCGCAGCCTACGCGCTTCTCATGATCTCCGGGTAGAAGCGCGGGCTTCTTATACGGTTGTAGGTGGATGGCATCTCCTCTCTCTTTGTGGACGGTACATCCCCACTATATATCGCGAATCCCTTCTGTTCGTATCCTCTCTCTCTCTCTCTCCGCGCACATTCCATACCTTCAACCAGACACAGTGGGAGGTGATATTTTTAAGAGCGAAGAGGAATCTGGCGTACGCTGGAGATATTATTAGTTTAAAAAAGCGGATATAATATATTCCAGTATTGAACAATCTCTTTTAACATCTAAATAATCAAAGATTGCTAAAATTAATTTTCTTCTTAATTATGATATGATTCATAAAATAATAAAAAAATCAGCCACTCGACATTCAAGCAATTGATCGTTAACATTTATTAATATTAATATGAATATTTTTATAGTTTTGTGTTTAAGAAAGATCGCAGAGATATTTAAACCTTAATTAACTGTACTTAATATCTGAGAATTATTTTACAATATTGCTATAATAGATAATAAATTTGAAATACTGAAATGTTAAAAATAAATAACTAATTAAATAAAACATTTTTCTAAAATATTTTTCAAGACATAGTTAAAGTAAAAAAATGATAATTATAAATTAGCTTATCTTTTATATCTTACTCAAAAAAATTACATTCTTTTCAGATTATTCGGATAGTGGACATTCTGTATTTGTATTCACATTAATTCACGTGAATCATCTGTCACTTGTGTATCGCCGTCTTATTAGGAAAGTATAAATATAAACAAGCTTTACAGTTACTAAATCTTATATGAGCATCGTTCAATCATAGGCTCACATTGTATGACATTTAAATATTTAGATGAAAGAGAATTATTCGTGTGAAAATATAACTATTTTTTACGTGAGAGAATTTTTTTGATATTGTAAAAGTATGTAGAGGATTACAGGGAAATATATCGGTCTTAATCAATTATGATATACACTTTTCAACTGGTATTATCAGATAATATTTACAAGGCTATGTATTAAAAACAATAAAATATTGACGGTTTTTCATTTAAATTCATTCACCTATATCAGAAAGTGCGCAACGTTACAGAATTTGATATTGCCATACCCATTATCTGTAACATAAATTTAATATTTTCGTTTAAATATAAAGCCCGCAACAAATTTTCATGTTATATGAATGAAAGCGCAGATAACAATTGTAATTTATATTAATATTTAATTTTCATATTTTCGTAAAAATATGTAGTTTGTGCGAAAATTATGTATATATAACTTAATAAAAATATATAATAATGTTCATTAATAACACATTTTATTAAAAGTGTGAGCTTCGAGATGTGCAAACTTTGTAGTTCAATAATTCAAATGACAGCATTGAATGTACAGAGTGCTCGGGTGCGTCAAATATACGTCTCATCGAACACTTTGTAGAACAGTACCGCAATTTTAATCACTGATGCTTCGAAGGAGACTAAACAGAGGAGGATAATTAATGTTTCGATGCATTGCATAAACATTGTTGGACCGCTAAAGATTTGTAGTATTTTTAGAAATCTAAAAAAATTTGTATATATATATATATTTCTTTTTTAAATGCTATTAACAACAGATTATTTTATAATTGAGATATGCAAACATTAACGGTTCGGTTGAGAGAGATACTATACACAATTATTAATGAAATTAATCATATTAATAGATATTGGAGATATTAATACATTATTACGTAATGTATAGATATAGATATAACAATTACGTTATATTTTGCTAAACATAATGATTTAGTAAAAATGTCTTTATAAAAATGTACTTTATAATCTCCGAATGACAATCCACATAATTCTTCAATTTATCCTTGAGAACGAATATGGCACGCTGTAATTGTCCAAAATATTTTATTTCCTTTTATTTACTGAAAGAGTTTATTTTAAAATAATCGACGTAACATACTTGTCAAAATCGATTTTTATTAATATGATGTTGATATATTGAAATTGCAGATAACCATCAGCATGATGACATAAAACGCACGTCGTAGCAAACAATTCCAAGCGCAGAAGATATTCCGCCTATTATCTGCATGAAATACAGGCAAACGTAATTGTAAATATCGTCGGTGTTTAACGGATACCATCCGACAAACGGTAAATTTGTCTTTTTAAATGTATGATTAATCGAGTTTTGATCAGGTGCCCGTTCTAGGAGTGGAACACCAATATAGAACGCCGTAAATACCAGCAAACGTTCACCATCGCACGAAAAAATTAGAATAATTACGCGTGTGTTCTATTTCATTCCTGTACATTTGACATCCTAATAAAAAGATCGTTAGCAATCTTAATACATTGAATCGCGAAAAAAACTATATGTAATATTGAAGAACGCAGATTGCATTTCTGAAGTCAATATACACAGCGTGGAAAATGATCTCGTAAATATTCATTAATTTGTAATTTTAAAGCATCAAAAGTCGGGCGATGCAACGTAATTGATAGCACAATCTTTAACTCTTGTTTATTGAAAAATGATTTAATATATCTTTCGTGATATTTTAATTCACATATTTAATTCGCGTCTTCATTATGAAAAACACGAACACGTTACCCTGGCAATTATTATTAAATAGATAATTAACATACCTTCTCCGCTGTTATCGATCCGTTGGCAAAGTACGTGAGATTTCTCTAATTTCCCCACGATATCGACGATTTCTTTATTTCTCCGTATTCAGTAATTTTATCAAGCCCACAAAATGCACATTTATTACTCCAATAATTAGCAAATAATTTCAGATCATTGTTTATCGTAAGCGCCAATTTTTCCGAGAACAGGAGCAGGGGTGTTCGCCGATATGAAGACAATCGTCGCTCGCCACGGGAGCAATATTTTAAGTAGCGAAAACGACCGGTGGGCCAAATACGAGCGTATCCGAGTACCGAGAGCAAATACGCGATGTAATACCCTAAGGATATCGCGTCTTCTCTGCCGTTCTCGACCTTGCGATTCATAAGCTGAAAATTGAAGAGGGGTGGGCGGAGGCGCGTATCCGAAAAATCGAAACGGACGCTGTCCTTTGCGTGAGAACGCGTGTCCGGCTGCGGTTCATTCGCGCGAAAAGATACGGCGGTTTCTCGCGCAAGTACGCGAGGGACATAATACGACTCTTGTTTCGCATATTCCCCGGATACATGTACACCGGACAATTACGTACGTTACGTCAGACGACCTGAGACTC